CCGAGTGATTAACACTGACTCGGACAACGGGAAGGTCCAGGTGGAGATAAATGTCTTACAACCTCTAGTAACAAGAAGATCTATTCAGTTCACGAGTGGAAAAGAGCTTTGAATTGAATTCGAGTATGAGCACTTACATAAACATCGCTTTTTCATGTATGAGACTCGACCATGGAACAGACTTGTAGAGTTGGCAATACGAATGCACCTAACTCAAACAGAAGCAAATAAGTCAATCGAGAAAACACGCTTTAACACATTGATACAGCAAAACAGAGACGGTGGAAAGGAAAAACAACGAGCGAGATTCGAGAAATACTCTTAACAAAACTCACCAACCCACTTCATTCCATCCTCACCATCATAAGAGAGCTACGACTGGTGACTTTAACTCACGCATACTCAGGCCCACTAGAGAACTTGCTTATTCATACCAAAACGGGGAAGGTTAGAGGGTGATTAGATCAGGCCGTATGGTCAGAAGTCACCCCCTTGACCCCATCACTCGTCTTTCCAATGAAGGGAAGTATCGAGATCACACACTCATGTATCAACTCCCAGAGATTCTTCAGGGTCAAGAAATCTCTCTCCTATATGTTCTCCAAGGCGCTCTCATAGCCATCAAAGGAACTTTCTTACGTCTCCTCCTACTAATGATGGTCTGAGCCAGAGTAAGAGAGCAAAAGACTTATTCGTCACAACTAGATTTAGGAGGCCAGAATTGGAAAGAGAGGATTTAGCTGATGTAGCTAACAATTTCCATATCTCAGGCTCCCAAGTTGTTTTTCAGCCACAGTCATGTAATCCGCAGGTGGTGCAAATCCAAACTGATGAGAACCCAATGCTGAGAAGTAATGATCCCTTGCTCCAGCCTTTGACTGAGAATAATACATGGAGAAGGAGCAGTATACATGATAGATTTCGCTTCCCAAAAGATGGGACTTCTCCTCACCCGGTTCTCTCTCCACCCTCGAAATCTAGACTTTATATCACTCTTAGATTGGGCGAAAGTGAAGAGGACATCAAAGAAGTTTCCCGCTCCAACGTGAATAATAAGAGACAAGTGGGCAGAGGTGGAAGCACGTCTCGAGGCAGAGGCAAAGATAGAGGAAAGAAACCAATTCCCCAAAGTCCTCTGATTAGAGCTGGTTCCAAGAAGAGAAATGTTACAAAAAACCAAACCGCAGCTGAAAAAAACTTTGTCTGGACAAGCAAAATACGAATACAAGCAGAGCCTCCAAAGATGATCCTATCCCCACAAGTTTATCTCTTAATGAGGATGTTAATCAGTCTACACTAAATGCAGCTCCGACTCGTCTCCCTCCTTTATCTAGGAGAAACT